TCAATTTATTTTTTTTTTACATTATGTGTCAGTTCAACACCCATGGGCTTCTGCATCGTGTTTTGGATTTAGTGCCTCCATCTGGAAAAGGCAGCTGATTAGCAGTATTTTCAAACAACTGACTAAGCTTTGGCTTAAACCTCTTGATCTTCCTGCTGCAACGGCATTTTGCCTTCTTCATTCTGCAGTTCCAACTCCTTACGCTCTTGTTCCAGCTGAGCCTGCAGTCAGTTTAAGAAAGGTAATTAGAAGGGAAAAAAAAAAAACACATTCATATTGCCCACCCCATTGTTTACAATGTATTTCAAAAATGAAATCTTAAAAAAAATAAAAAGGAAGCATAAAACATAACTGCAGTGTTAATAACATAAAACCCTTCCAGCATCATCTGACTCAACACTTTCACAGGTTTTAGATTTGCATGGATAGAAAGTCTTTGCTATCAAGAGGATGAAAAAATAGACACCTGGTTAGCATACACACTTAAGATACTGTTTTGCTCCACATGCTCTTTATCAGTCTATATTCATTATCTCCTATGCTTTGAATTAAGCTCTGATACTTCATATAGTACCTAGCACAGACAGATGAAGCCACGTCAAATCAAATTTATATAAAACTTTAGTAAGCAATGTCATTGACATTAATTATCTTCAGCAGCAACCTTTAATATTTCCAATTAGAAATATCTAATACAAAGTGTTTACTCTTTGTGACCTTAAATCCTACTGCATCAAAAATTAAGAAATTACATAATCGAAGTGCTCACATTCAACAACACTAGGGTCTAGAGAATACTGTTTGCTGCAGCATTCTGTGAGCAGTCATATTGTAGTAATGAGTTTTCGCATTCATTTTTGATATATAATCAAAACACGCCTGAGTACATGACTATAGCCAAAATTGGATTAAGCTAAAAAAATGTGTCTAATGTGAATATTGAATAATTCAACATCTTTCCCATAGTTTACATGAAATAATTTATATAATTCCCTGTGAATTATCTCTAGACACAATCTCATATTCTTGTTTCCATTTGCTATTTTATATGACTCATGAAATCCTATCCTGGTATTGGCTGGGATAGAGTTAATTTTCTTCCTTGTAGCTGGTACAGTGCTGCGTTTCTGCTTTAGTCCAAGAACAATGCTGATAACACACTAGGGATGTTACTGATGTTCTAGTTATTGCTAAATAGCACTTACCCTGATCAAGAACATTTCAGTCTCTTATGCTCTGCCAGTGAGGAGGGGCACAAAAAGCCGGGAGGGAGCAGAGACAGGACACCTGACCCAAACTAGACACAGGAATATCCCATACCACAGCATGTCATACCCAGTATATAAACTGGGGGGAGTCACCTGGAAGGGACTGATCACTGCATGGCTTGGGCTGGGTATTGGTCAGCAAGTGGTGGGCAATTTTGCTGTGCGTCACTTTTGTTTATTGGTTTTGGTGGGATTTTGTTGTTTGTTTTTTTTTCCTCTCCTTTCCCCTTTTAGTTTTATATTCTCCTTGCAATCCCTCTCAGGAAGTGGGGAAAGGGGAGGTGGGGGGAGAGGGCAAGTGGCTGTGTGGTACTTGGTTACTGCCTGGGTTTAAACCACAACAAATCCTTAGGCACATAACTTTAGGCCTGAAAATTAGTAAATTTCAAATTTTAAAAGTGCAAGTGAAATAGAATAAATGCAACTTATACTGGAACTGGGCTTAACAGGATTTGAAATTACCCTCCTGATAGCATCCTGAAAGTCAGCCATATGAAAAAATCCAGGCAGATAACATCAATGTCATGATAGTAACACTGAAGGTGTGACACATCACTGATTCCCAACCATTTTCAGATCTCTACAATTTTGTATACTTTCTCATTACCTTTGTTTGCATTACTGATATTACACTGAAGTAACTTCAGACAATAATTGGTTATCATTCCCATACCTCCTAACAGGCCTGTCAATTTTTGCAATGATTTCTAACTTTATTTGCACCAGCTCTTGCTCATCATTAATTACAGAAGCCAGGTCTTCTTATTTTAAGTTACTTCTTATGTAAGTATTTTATTTTTTTTTTACATTTTACCACATAGTATGCAAGTTTTCCTTGCTATGTGCTGACCAATTCCTCCAGTTACTATTTAGAAAAGTGAGTTTAAAATACTTGGTTTATGCTACCTTCTATCCAAATCATTATACAGAGATTAGAAACATACAGAGCTACAAGATGCCACAGCGTCATATACTATTTCTATTTATAATTGCCTACTACTAAATATTATTAACCTGATGTTGTTCTTCAAGTTTCTGCTGGATCATTAGTTCTTCTTCCTTCACTTTCTGTAACATTTCGAGTTCTATGCGGGCCGCCTCCCGCTCCTGTTCCAGCTCAATCCTCTCCAACATTATCTATTTCAGAGGTAACAGAGAATCAATTGAAAAAATAGAGATTAAATAGCATCAATTATACTATCATGAATATTTTTTTACCAAGATGGAGCCACCTTTTTTTCTTCATCTAAGACTCTTCTATAATTGTAAATCCAGTGTGCCAGATATTCTATTGGATCTGCAGGCCGACGTTCTGCAACCTCTGCCAGTCCCTTTCTCAAGCAACTTCCCAGGCATCTCTTCAGATACTGAGATTCCATTCACACCTAGTAATAACAGAAAGACATTACCCATCAATGTCAGAGTTAAATTAGGGTTTCTACGAATTATTGCCCCAAGCACCAAATATTGAATATGACATTATTCTTTTTACTAACCTAGCAATTAATTGAAGAAAGTAATTTAAATGTAATATTGGTTTAGTGCTTAAAAGGTCCGGTGATAGATCAGTTATATCAGCACTGCAGGAATAAAAATGCTTAAAATCCCCCTTACTGTTTAGTCATGTATAATTCAGAAACTGTCCAGAAATATGCTGGTAATTTTAGGTCAGCATGATAGAAACAAAAAACAAAAAACCACAGAAAACTTCTACACAGATAGCTGAAGTACAGCAAAGTAGTTCTGTGAATAAGGATAGATTTTAGTCTGAGCTAGCAAAACTATCTTTAGAATATGTATGCAAAACCAAGGCCTGAAGCAATCAGTCTTCACAATTATGAAAGGCATAAACCTGTACATATGCAAGGTTTTACTAGCACTGTGACAGTATGCACATAAGAAACTCGAGTTCTGCAATACTGAAATGCCCTTCATTGGCTACCAAAAGGACTGAATCCACCTCACATGAAGTGACATAGATACAAAACCTCTCTGGCCCTTCATGTTTCCACTGACCCCCAAGGTGATAGGTCCAGGACAAGGGTCAGGGCACATTAGCAGACCTCCATTGTCCCGACCATTCTCAACCGGTGCCTCCAGCCCACACACTCTGCCCCGAGCTCTATTTAAGCTTTTATCCTTGCCCTAGATGATATGCCGGGCGGGCCTGCTCCTGTGGCGCTGTTGGGATTTCCAGAGCGGATCTGGCATGTTACTCTACCTCACCCGGTGCTCCATGGACTCTTTACTAGCGCCCGGTGCTGCCACCTCCCTGTTTCTGGCGCCGTGAGGCTGCGCGCTGTCGCTAAGGTAATTATCTAGCCTGCGCCGCAGCCGATCCTGGCTTCCCCCGCTCGCCTTCCCTCAGAGTAGCCCCAGTCCCACGGCTCCCCGATATTACCTCCCGAGCGCAACCTCGGGACGGCAGCCTTTCCGCGCAGCACCACCCGGTCTTACCCGGCCTGTCGGCTGCTCCAACGCAGGCACAGGCATCACGGCACAGGACGCCTCACAACGCGCCGGGTTGCTAAGCAACACTGCTCTTGGGCGCACCGCGACCTCCGCGTAGCCGATTGGCGGGAGGGCGCAGTGGGGAGGTGCCGGTGGCGGGGCACTCCCGGGGCAGTCGCATTCTTCTCGGTGTCGGGACGCGAGCGGGCGGCGGGCGGTGCAGCGGGACAGGCGACACGGGGCGGCCGCTACCGTCCCTTGGCGATGCGATGGGGTCTTCCTACGGAAAAAACAATTGGAAACGCGTTTAACACCGTCTCCTCATGAACGGTTTCCTTTCGTAACAGAAGGGGCTTCCACTAAAATGAAAGACATCTTCAGCCAGTCCTGGGCGCGATCAGCTGGCAGCTACAGATCCTTCCTGACAGGCCTAGACAGAATCATTCTATACGTGCATGTATAAATACATTTATGCACACGTATATGAAAGGGAAGAAAACACTATCTCAATTTTAGCATGAGAAACCCGAGCTAACACTGAACAAGGATTTTGTAGCTAAGCAGAAGACACGTTTTTAAACGAAGCTGGGATCTCCCTTGCTGGAAGTTTATAATCATAGCATCAAGTAGGTTGAAAAAGACCTTTAAAATCATCAAGTTCCAGGTTAGACGCCCAGCATTAAAATAAACTGATTGTTTCTTCTCCCTGAGAAGCCTGTTGGCTGCCATTCACCTCAGGTTTGGCCAGCTGTTTTACTGGCGACTTTTAACCGGGTATTTAAAAACCCTGCAAAGGATTAATTCCGTATCTGTATTAGTTCTGAAGCTTAACTGCGCTAACGTTACCTTGACTTTTCCCTAGCATTAATGACAGACTGAAAAATATTTCCAGAAAGAAAGACAGCATGGGAGTAATGACACACTCGGCTGACGAAGCCAGCTTTTGAAATGCGTAACAAGGAGCAGATGTAAAACGCGCGCCAAAAGCGGGCACCCCTGCTCTGGCCGGAGGATGTCGCTGGCGCTCTGCGAACGCCTTTCCCAGGGCAGCAAAGGCGCCACCGCCTTTACCCCCGAGGCTAAGGCGAATCCCCACGCCGAGCTACGGCTCCCCGTCCCTCACCGCCAGTAAAGGTGCTCCGCTGCCGCAGGAGAGGCACCTCCCCCCGCACCGGAGGAGCAGGGCCCCTCAATCCGGCCGGCCTACCCCGGCGATCCCCGCGCCTGCGCGGCAGCAGCGGTGGTTGTTCTGCGCCTGCGCGGCGCCAGCGGTCTGCGCGTGAGCCGCGATGGCGGCGGGAGGTGGTGTGCCGATCGAGGAGCGTGTAGGGCAGGTGGTGCTGCCCGGGGACGTGCTGGTTCTCCCTGCGCACCCCGACGAGGACGGGGAGCGACTGCGGCTGGGCGCTAGCCCGGCCCCGCCGACCAGGCTACTCTGCGGGCCGGGCCTGCGGCGGTGCGACGCCGGGCTGTTGGTGACCAAATGCGGCCTGCTGCGGCACCGGCAAGCGGCCGGTGGCGCCTACTGGGTGGACTCGCAGCAGAAGCGGGTAGGGGCGAGGGGAGACCCGCTGTGTGCGGCGGGGGGCGGACAGGGAGGAGACTATCTTCTTGTCCGCGCTTTCCTGACCCGTTTGTCCGCGTTTTTTTGTCCCGCACACCGTGTTTGCAGTATGTTCCGATCAAAGGCGACCACGCAATAGGAATAGTGACGGCCAAAGCGGGGGACGTGTTTAAGCTGGACGTCGGTGGGAGCGAGCAGGCGTCTCTGTCCTACTTGGCCTTTGAAGGCGCCACGAAGAGGAATAGGCCGAACGTGCAGGTTAATGCTCTTGCTGGTTGGCGGTAACGCTGTAGCGATGTCCCTTACTGGTGCTTCTGTTACTGTTTCGTGTTTTTCCTTTGTAAAACTGCTTTTTATAAGCCGCATGTAAAAGGAGGAGTGCGGATTTATTTGCAGTGATTTTTGCTGTGTGCACGACTGGGCTGTGGGTTTTCTGAGTTTTTTTTAGAGGTCATTTAATTTAGTGTGGTTTGGTATCTGGCAGATGGCAGGCTTTTTCACTCCTTACATTTTAACTTTACCATAATATTGCCAGCAGCAGATACAGTTCATGAGTAATATGCATCTGAGGGGGCACTCCAGAGTTAGGGGTTTAAAATAAGCTTTTATACCATCCAGTACTGGTAGAAAATGTTTCTCACAACACTGTTCTAAACAGCTCTATGGCACATGCATGCTGTAGCTTCTGCATCCAACTGAGATACCATCACCAGAATGAAAATTTGACTGTAAAGGAAACCAAAATAAGTTAGTGTGGTTTGTTGTGTTTTGGGGTGGTTTGTTTTTTTTTTTTTTTTTGGTTAGTTTGTTTTGGCTTTTTTTTTGTTATCATCCTCGTCAAGCTCATAAATGACTACAAGAGCAGATTACATAATGTTTGGTCTTTAAGAAGAGGAATACTCCATGAAATAAAGTTCTGTACTTTCTATTTTTCTAATATCAGTAATGATAAAAGAGAATTCTTTGTAGAGGATGCTGCATTTAGTGGAAGTAGAGAAAATGAAAATACTATACTAGTTTTTGTGTCACCACTATTTTAAAGCTGTTTTGTGGCCTTATGAGAGGGTCTCTAGCAACTGAGTATTGCTTATAAATATGCAGTATGATCTTCTCTACTACTTTTGCTTTTTAATACTGCTTTGTTTAGGTGGGAGATCTTATTTATGGTCAGTTCGTTGTAGCAAATAAAGACATGGAACCAGAGATGGTCTGCATAGACAGCAGTGGAAGATCAAGTGGAATGGGAATAATTGGACAAGATGGCTTCCTCTTTAAAGTTTCTTTAGGTCTAATAAGAAAGTAAGTACTAAGGAAAGTAAGTAGTCACTAACATATACTATGGTGGGTAGGATTCGTGCAACTATTTTCTCTGAGCAGTGTGGGCAGTTCGGTAATCAGTTTGTAATTGTTTTAGTGCGTTTATAACAGTTTTACTGAATAGGGTATGGATATTGGCCTAGGAGGAAGATTTATTTTCCTACTTAAGAGATTTATATGCTCTTCAATATGATGTGCTGTGACCTGCTTAAACAAAGCGATTTGGTTGCCAAGGTAGCATGGAAAACAAAATCAGTGACCTGGCAAAATAAGATATTCAAGGTAGGGTTTCAGGTATGTATCTACTACCTTGGACTTTAAAAACTGTGAATGCCTACTGTCCTTTTTCTGGTTAATGGGGATTGTTGCGGATATACGTTTGGCTGATAGGTGATTAAAAAGCTCTTTCCACATCGATTACATACTATATTCTGACTTCCCAAGAAAAATAAATTGCTTTGAAATACTGATACAGACTTAAAAAAAAAAACTGGGATTTTTGTTTAAAACTGACATGTTAATCCAGGAACTGTTTCAGAAGCTTTTTAATGTATCATGAACTTTGGATTTATGTATGTTGACGTAAATACAAGACTTTTGTGACTGGCAAAGAATGCCAGATTATATGGTTAAGTGATAGTTAAGCATTGTTGCTTTTGGATGTTTTGTTTTGTTGTCCTTTGGAAAATCAACCTGGAGGTGAAGAGCAGCTACTTCATATGTGGACTTTTAAAGTAATAATTTGTCTGGTTACATGTCCCATCAGAAGTCAGTGTGAACTTACACAAATATTTTTTTCATCCGTTCTGTGTGTCTTCCAAATTCTGTCTGCGTGCAAGTAAAGGAATAACAGTATGGTACAAGTGGTAATCTTTCTTTGAGAAAGCCTGTTAGATCTTGATTTGATCCTAGGTGTATTACAATAATTCTTGATGCTTTTTTGCAGTGTTCTCTCACCTAATAAAACTAAAGTATTCTATGTTTACTGCTGTTAATATCGTTTCCTGAAGGAGAAGGGAAGCTATCTTTTGAAGATACATCTTTGATTCTGGTGTTAAATTTATAAATACCAGCACTTTAAAAATGTCACTTTGTCAAACAGTTTTAGACCTATTAAATTGTAGAATTGTTATAAAAGTATGGATTCACTTTAAATTATCAGATATTACTTCTGACCTTAATTAGAAAAATCACACCTGTATTTTTAGGTGTATTTTAGATGAGAGCAGAATCAAAAATCTGATGCTGTATTGCTATTCTGGATGCATATATGCAACTTGTTCATCTTACCTTTTGGTGTGTTGCCTTAATAGCTCACATAACACCAGTACTGCAGTTTAGTTACTGATAGTGTGGTCTGTATAATGACTTTTTAAATCTTTTTTTACAGACTCTTGGCTCCCAAATCTGAAATAATTCAGGAGTTGTCACAGTTGTACCCATTTGAGATGGTCCTGGGAATGAATGGAAGAATATGGGTAAAAGCCAGAACAGTTCAACAGACTTTAATTATAGTAAATATTTTGGAAGCCTGTGAGTATATGACTGCAGAACAGAGAAAACAAGCATTTGCCAAATTGTCAGGGAATTAATAAAAGAAAGCCTTGAGGATTTGTTTGAGATGACTAGGTGTATTGGTTATTTTTGTATTCAGATTTATATTAAAAGCCTTTTTTTCTTTTAAATGAAATACTAGACTTTGTTCTTCAGTTTCCTTATTTATCCACTCAGCTTATTTGTGCCTTGTTTAGGAACTTTGGTTTTACTCACTTCTGTGATTATGAAGTCCTGCTTACATTTATGAATTTCTTGACAGATGGGGAGACAGTCTTTAAAGCTTCCAGTAGCTGTGAGTTTAGAGGTATAACTACTCAGATTTGTAAGAAAAATGGTCAGTTTGTTAATATGCATATATTTGTTTTTTTTATCATTATTAGTATTAACACTTCAAACAATACATGCTTGCTTGAGGTAGTAGAAAGTATCTTGCAGGTCATTCATTCCAGTCAGGTGCTCTGTTTATGCAGTGCAGGAAGTGATTATTTAATATGCAACAAAATGTGGGACTAGAAATGCAGAGAGTAACAGAAAATAATTACAGGGCATAGTATAAAATAAGCATAGGGTGGATAAGGGAAACAATTAGATAAGACTCAGCATACGGTCACAGTGACCTTAGTGCTTTCCCTAAAAATAACCTGGTTAGTAGAATTGAGGAAATAGTGATTAGGACTTAACTTTATAACTTCATAGGACATCATTATGAAAATTCAGGAAGTTGGATGGCTCACTGAAAGGAAAAAATAGGCTAAACAGCTGCTACTTGAAGTCACTTGCATGTTTTTTGTTTTTTTTTCATGAGAGCTTTTTAACTAGAGATTAGGTAAAGGCCACTGCAGCAATAGCCATATATTTCTCAATTCTAGACACTTTATATGTATTTTGTTTTAGATACAGCATCAAGAGTCCATATAGCTTTGCTTCATGTTAAACAAAATCAGCATTAAAATAAAAGCTTCCTCACATGCATGTAGAGGAAATGCTGTTCTAAGGGAGATAAATTGTCCATTTTAGTACATGAGTAGTTTGCTACTGTTCTTTTCAGAAAGAGCCATGGAGTAATTGAAGGGGAACTACTGATCCCTGCTTCATGTAGGAGAAAAGTTTGACTGTGTACCCAATGAGTTGCATTGGAGCTGTTTAAGTGGTTTTTCAGATCTATGATGTTTTGTAGTTCTTAATAAGATGAATAGTTTAATATCAATAGTTAGCAGTAAATTAGAGGGAAAAGGCTAATTAGAATAAGCCTGAATACCATATTAATTCCAAGAAGAAACAGTATTGTTCCTATTTATTCTGCATTTTTTGTAGTTCAGCTTGTGGTATTTGATGCTACAGTTTTCTTTGGCATCTCTCATTTAGAAATTATTTCAGTTGAGAGCCACTCCTGTGATTCATCTTTAATACACTTACCTAGGGCTTCCCCTGACAAAAAAACAACTTTAATGATTTCCATGTGACTTTAATGGCTGAAATTCAGAATTCTTTCTGTGTTTCACTGGCTTCCCTATTTAGTATTTAGAGTATTGCTCATCTGGCTTGGTAGATCTTTAGTCATCTTTTTTTTACCTGTCTTCTCCCAGCTGAAGTGACTTTCATTCATATCCCATAAAACTTTTAGGCTTATAATCTGTGTTTTAACTGCACATAAAAAGCTGTAATTTAATAAGGATTTCACTAACTCTGCTCTTCATCAATCATCTTTTTCAAATTTAGCTAACCAGAGCCCCTGCAGGTTGTCCGTTATTAGAACAATAGTTGGCATAAGCAGGAAAGCACTTGCCAAATCATCTCGGGGTGCTGACTTGGTGTTCTGTGAATGTTCTTGGATCATAATAGTAAAACCACAGAAATGGGGAATGACATGGTTCATTTCCTGAAGAGTTGTGGCTTGAAATGCAATTAGCCGTACCACTCCCCCTTTTACTTGTCTAAGCAACCTCCTTTCCCTTCCAAAAGTCTGAATTTTAAGCCTAACCTGCAAGATACATGAACAATCCCGGATTTAAAAATGCTGTTTTGGTAGCACAGCACACCAGATAGTGACCTTGAAAGTTTTCAACATCACAAGTGCCTTATTTCACACTAGCCATTAATCTGTCCCTCTGTCAACAGCTTATCACCCAAATACAAATATAGTTAAATCAAGAGCAGGAAACAAAATGCAATAAAATTATGTTTGTTGTTAATTTAACAAAATGGTGTATCCACAAAGTACTTGTTTTACCCCCTACGCAATCATGGTAAGTATGTGCTACATTTAAGTTTGACAATTTATACAGTGGAGAAAATGACAAGTGGATGTGAGCAAAATGTGTGGAGAAAATGCTTGAAAGCAAATACACATTACTAAAAGAAGGTAATATTGGGGTTCTTTGGTTTTTCTTTTTTTTGTTTGTGTTGGTTTGGGGTTATTTTAGTTTTGGGTTTGGTGGGGTTTTTTGGGGGTAAAAGGAAAACTACATTCCTTAAACCAATTACTAGCTTTGACAAGCTATATCTAATGAACAAAATATCTAGGCAAAATCCATATGGTGTCTTTGTGAATTTGCAGTTCTGGCTTGGGGACTAAACCTGTATTGCCAAAGAGTGGCACAGGCTATAACTTGGTTCTAGGAAGACAGGCTAATCATAAGTTAATTGGGTATTCTGCTGGACGTGTCACAGGAAGTCCTTCACATTCCCATTAAGGGCACGTAAACACATATATTGAAGGAAATAGAACATGCAGAAGTGATGCCATGGACTTCAAATGTACCTTGTTCAGTAGAATTTTTCCGTTAAATTTATCTACATGATGCATGCCCTTGTCAGCTGTAAAGAACAACTTAGAATTGTTCATTGTGGATAGTTGGCTATTGTGCATTAGGTGCTTTGTTATATTGCTCTTTTTTTCAAGTTAATGTAAAAAGTAAAGGTTGTAGCTGTCAGCATGGACAGTGTGTCTGCAGTGGTGAGCACAACCTCTTAAAGTTAATTAAATGGAAACCATACACTAAAAATAAGAAATACAGAGTCTGTGACCCTTCCTAGGTTGTTACGTTGCGTAAAGACCAAGAATAAATGATGACAGAAATTACAGATAGGCAGTGTTGTAATTGTGTGATAATAAACAACTAAACACATAAGTGTAACTTGTATTTGCTTAAGCAAAAGAAACTTGCACAGATAAATAGTTGAATGTAATGAGAGGATAAACAGCTTAACTCAGGCTATGGTTACAGTATGGCAGTAGCTCTGCTAGATGAGCAGTTCACTGTGCCCAGCTACTCATTGCCACCTTACCATCAGACGCTGGAACTTACGTTTGCTGGTTTATCTATTTGATTTCTAGCCAAGTTCTGTAAAAATGATCTAAATCGGCACCAACACTGAATCACAGGGTCATTTTGTTTTTCTGACCTGGATGTTCTTTTCACAGGAGAGCTCATGGATTTTTTTCTCTCAGATTTTAAATACTAAGGGCAGCTCATCTGCTTCTGGAGAAGGTAAAATTTCTTACAGAGGCCCTAGTTTTCTTCCTTACTGCTTCAACAAATAATTCCGAGTAACAGCTAAATCAACCAGTAAATCGACAGGTTATTTTAAACTTTACAAATTGGTCAGCTTCAAGTTTTACATGCTTACATAAAAAAGTATTTACACCAGTTTTTCTAGCTACATACGACCAACTTGGTGAGATATGTTTTCTGAGTATAGAAACTAGCTGTTACAGACAATGCAGGACGCTTTATTTAGTTGTAATACCAGCGCCTTGTCCTTACTAAATGACTTGTATAGACTGCAAGATGCATAACTACAATTGGAGTCTGTAGAAATAAATGAATCATGTCAGTTTTGCCCTAACAACTTGAAAGAGAAATAGCCTAAAAACATGGGTGTCTGGATTTTAATGGAAGCCAAGTAGTAGTTGCAGGCAGTCAACCAGAACTGCTACAGAATGACTGTTTGACACCCTGATTGTGCAAGTATGCAGTTACGGCTTTTTTGGTGCTATCAGGGTATTTAGGGATGTTCAGGAGTCTCTTTTTGGTTATAGAGCCTGAAGCTCGATCACTATTCCAGTGGCTTGAATAGGCATTAAAAATCTCTTTACTAGGCCTTAGTGTCCTACCTGGTATGAAAAAAACTAAAACACTGGACTAGAGTAACAGTATAGGTAGCACTGCAGTAAATGGGACAAAAGAAAACTATAAGCCCCTGCGATTCAAGTGTGCTTTAATTACACTTAAGCTATAATGATATTAAAGACTGAAGGACAGACAGAGGAACTAATGACCTCATCTGCTCTTTCCAGAGGCTTTGGTTATCATTGCAAATGGTAGGCTTTTCTGTGATTCAGTGTTTATTAGGCTGTTGCCAAAAGAGATTTGTATAAGATTCTGTATCCCCTTTAAAAAGACTTACTAATTCTTTCTTCCTGTTCTTGCCTAGATGGAGGATGTTGCACCAGTCTTTTCTTGGGGTTCCACTGTGAACAGGTCATCCAGATGAAACTAATTTCAAAAGACCTGTAGAGGTTCTTTGGCTTCTTTCACGACTGCCACACCCTGATCTTACTGAAAATAAATCCAAGGTCCTCTGTCCAGGTCTTCTGTCTGGCTGTAGGCAGACTGGTGCTTTTATTTCCTGAGAATCAGAATGAGATTGAAAACACCACCACATGAGTACATACTGCTGTAGAGCCTCCAAACAAGCAATGACCTTTGTCTGGCCTTGCTGAAACTTACAACAGTCTTTATCTGTGTGGATGCACCCTTTGAAGCACATGGGTTAAAATGTCAAGCTTTATTTTTGTATATGTGAATCCAATCTTACTGGTTCAATGCTGAAAAATTAGTCTAGAAATCCTTCTGCAGACACAGGGCCTAGATCCTGCCTTAGCTGACCACTGTTTGTTTCCTCATTGCTTTTGAGTTCTCCCATTTCCTAATACAAAAGACTGTTTAATATAAGCCATTTGTCTAACAACACCCTTGGTCTAAAGCTGATCTATAGAAGCATGATCCAACAAGAAATACAAGTAATTAACTTCTGAAATAACACACAGCTTTGTCATT